GTTTTGCTTCTATTCATGAGTAAACAAAGCTGAAGCAGTTTCAATACCTGATGGCCCTGAAGAATGGCCAGAAAGAAAACATGGACCATTAGGTGTTCTGGTTGATGAAGAGTCAAAGCTCACCAGATAGTGCCTTGGTCTTTATTTCCTGCCTTAGACTCATGGAGAAGGGTAGAGCTGGGAGTGGGTATGGGAAGATCTGCTGAGCTGCCCCCGAAGAGCAAGGAGAATCCAGGCAATGGTGCTGTCCATGTTCAACCCAAAGTCTCTGGAGCAGCTGGGATTTGGCTCTGTTCAAAGAACCTCTGATTAAAGTATAATACAGGACCAACACACACCTGAACACTGCCTACACTTAGGTAAAAATTACAATAGACGAGTACAAATTGAAAACCATGGTTAGCATTTATTTTCCTCGTACGACTGAGGAAATCGAAGAACCTTAGTTTTATAACCTTGCACTCATTCAGAGTTCTTAAATATTACTTCTTACGAGTATAGCTTTGTAAAAATGAGATTTAAGATATATAATGAACCATATGCATACAGACAAGTCAGCCAGGCCTCGATCGTACCGATTACAGTTGTGTATCCCGATCGGCTAGATTGCGTACTAAAGCAGCAGCATCTGAGTGATGAGTAGAAGAAGCTGAAAAAAATGATGCCGAAAGAGAAATCGCAGGAAAAAAGGTGAGAGGCAAGCGTACAGTCAAAGCATGCGATTGTAGAAATTAATAAATTATGTTATATTACACAAAGATGAAAATATATCCAACGGGAGAAATAAATATACTAGGGCTAGCAGTACTCTCAATAAGTAGCTTTGCGGTTTTGATCGTTGCAGCAGAATGGCTGAACGGGCGAAAGCAGGAATTCTTTTGTTCGCCCGCCGGCACGCGCGCGCGCTATCGTCTATGTCGAACATACACGTGAGAGGCTTGCTTACTGCGTGTGGTCCTAGAGTGGGGAGAGACCGGCGGCCACCATGACGCGAGAGGCGGGAGCACGGTATTGCTCAAGGGTCAGTTGCATAGAGTCTCAAAACTCAGCCCTTGAGCAAGGAGACAGACGCTGTCAGATATTAAGACAAATGTCTTTAACTCTGTCACACCCGCTACTAGTCATAGGAAAGAAATCAATTGGCCAACTGACTATATGTGCCATAATCATAAATACGGCCCGATGTAAGTGGAAATTAGCGCGGGCATGCGCAGATAAGCATAGACTGTCAGTCCACTTCCCGGGAGGCTGAGGCAGAGATGGCGCGCGCATGAGCCCAGGGCTTTGCGACAGGCCTTCTCTGTGTAGGCTGGACGCCACGGCACCCTTCCACCTGCACGAAAAGCGAGACTTCTGTCTCAAAAAAAAAAAAAAAAAAAAAGAAAGAACAAAAGAAAGAAAGAAAGACAAAACAAAACAAAAACACCCTGGGAAAATGAAGAACTAGTTTTAATATCTTTCCACCCAAGCCTATCTAAAGTGTTTCAAGCCTGTGGCACAGTTGGAAGAAGCAGAAAGATGACACTTACTAGATGCCTTCTGTTTTGTAGTCTATTTCCACTTTCATCCTATATAATATCTATACCATTTTGTGAGATGTTTATTTAAGTAGGGAAAGGTATGTAAATACATTCAGTGTAGAAAGGCATAGCTGGAGATGTTCCAAGTTTGAATATATGGTAGGTGACAGGCAGTGGAGCACCCCCAGGCAGCTGTTCTAGTTCTGCTGGCTCACCAAGGGGCGATACTGAAAAGGGACCCTAAGCAAATATTTTTTCAGTTAATGGGCACAATACTGGAATTTCACACAACACTTCAATCTTGCACTGCATATAGTTCAATTTCCTTTCCACATTCAATATCCAACCCTTAAAAATACACATTAGCAGAGTTAAATTTGCTTTAGTAAGCTTTTAAAAGTCCTATGAATAGATGAAACAAAGGTTTGGTTTGGTTCAGACTATGAATTTCTTCTCTTTTCCACTTCTTCCGCCCCTCCTTCCCACATTTCCTGTTCTAGCTTAGGGAGGGTATTGACAGTAGGGAAGCAGGTGGTGTTTGGAGGCAGGAATAGGGAAAGAGGATTTATGTATACTACTTGGTGTATCTTTTCTTAGGATGAGACTTCCTTAGGGGGCAGCCACGACTTTTTACATGCCAGTTGACATATACTTCCTTTAATATCTGTACTCAATTAGCTTCTTTATTTCTACCAAGAGAGATTTGAAGACATTCTAATTAAACCCATATACAATGAATGGAATAATAAAATTGGGAGGTAAAATTAAAAGCCATATTATGCAAGCAGAGAAAATATAATGGACTGTTAATTATATTCAGATCTTTATAGTGACCAAAAAAAAAAAAAAAAAAAAGAAATCTAAGCATGTATTTATTGAGTGAAGTCTTACAGCGGTGTCCAGCTCTTTATTAGGACACAGAAAAGCACTGGTAATAAAGCATTAAAATGTCTAATTACAGCATCTTAGCATACCCCAAAGTCTGGCGCATTGGCATGCCGTGTACTTTGAACTAAAGGAGATTGTAAGGCCTCAGAAGCAGCCTCAGAACCAAGGCCTTTCTGACCTATTCCATCTTCCTGTCTCCTGAGTCATACAAACCAGAATTCCTCTTCCCCGAGGTGGGCCATAGAAACTAGAACTTTTCTCCCCCAAACAAACCATAAAACCTACGACTATTACTCTAACCTTCCTCCCCCTTTCTGTGTAGGAGATGGCCACAAAGAAAGTCCCTGACCTACCTTATCTGATTGTAGGTCATACGACTCTTGTTCCAGAAGCATCCTGCTCTGTATCCAGGAGGAAGGAATGGAATGCTACACAGAGACGTCAAGAAGAATCTGAACAGACAGGACTTGCTGGGTCTCTCCTCTGTCTATTGCTATTAGACCATACCCTTTCTGTTCCATCACATTTCTACATAGCTGTCCATTCTTCATGGACCCTAAGCATGAAAATAAACAGTTTTCCTTGGATCTTTGGGTCTTCATTTTTGAAGTCTCCCACATCATGTAAAACTTTGAAATAAATTTGTTAATGCTTTTCTCTTGCTGTAGGAGTATCAGCCATGACCCTTAGGATGGGTGAGGAAAGGTATCACACTTTTCCACCCCTACAGTGTCTTTATCCTGGAGAGAATTTGGTGATAATTAGCTTTATTCCAACTCTAGTTAGGTGTGACAATTAAAATATACATTAAGCAAAAGTCATGTCAAAGGAGTCATAGACTATTTGCAAACATGTCTGGGGACGTGAAAAGGTGCCATACCCACATGTAATTGAGGCGTCTGGCTCCAGGCCAGAATGCTACGTGTGGCCTTTCAGGTCTGAGCACAGGCCATTGCAAAGGCTTTATCTGGCAGTCCTCGTGGGGGAGGCCCCCCTCCCTGCAGTGTACTTGGTGCAGGAGCTAGAGGAGCCGTAGTCAACAGGCCAGTGACTCGCAGGTGGCCACGCTCCTACACATATCTGCTTTCCTAGTCCAAATACCTCCTTTCAGAGGTCTCCTTATCAAGGTGCTTCCCCTCACTGACTTAACATTTAGGACTTTTCCACTCCTTGTCCCTGACCCTCCCCAGTCCTACCCCTAGGCAGTGCGACAATCCCCCAGTCTGCGCTGACACCTCTGCCCCTCGCCTGGAGCTGTTCTGTGGGGAACTGCAGCTCAGAGAGGGCACCCATGCTTTTGCTGATGCTTTTTCTCCTTTGGCCTCTCGCTTATACAATTGCAGTGAAGGAATAAAGGCATCATTGTTACTTTCAGTTTGGCTTGTTGGCTTAATCAACCATATTAACATCTGTCTGCTCAGCTCTCTCCAACTCAGCTCTTGACAGTAATTAGTAATTCCAAACTTTAGAATAGAGACACAATTTACAGTTCTTACTGGGGTGAATGGATATGTACCTGTAACAATCAGGCAGCTTCCCTAAATCCCAGAGCACCTCTGCTCATTGAGGGGAATTGAAAGGCATCATGGTTTCATGAACAGGACAGCAGAACAAACAAAATACCAGAAGTCCTGGGCGCTAATGTAATTGAACCTTGTGTAATTTGGGCATAAGACATCGTCCAAGTTTGCTAGGTTTTTGCTTCCTCAACTATAAAATGAGGAACTCTAAGATGCCTTTAACTCTATTGTTTTATGAAGAAAGTACTCGTCTGGGTCATCATGTCTTAATTTCTGGATGCAGGTGACAGTGTCCATCATTGGACTTAACTAGGATGTGGTAGTGAAGGAGAGAGGAGGTTAGAGGCTGCTGTGATTAGAATGTGTTCCCTTCAAAATTCATGTTGAAAATCCCCACTGTGGCAGTATTAAAAGGTGGGCCTTTTGGGAAGTGATTAAGCCACGATGGCTCCATGTCATGAATGGACCAGTGACTCGTAAAAGGGCTGGAGGGAACCAGCTTGGGTCTGTTCCTTAGTTCAGTTGCCCTTCTGTTCCTTCCCATGCGAGGACACAGTGTTTGTGCCCTCCCCAGGAGGCAGCAAAAAGGCACCATCTTGGAAGGAGAGATGGGGCCTTCACCAGACACTGAGCCTGTTGGTAACTCTATCTTGGACTTTCATCCTCCAAAACTGTGAAAATTACATGTCTCTTGTTTATAAATTATCCCGTTTAAGGTATTTTGACTCAGAAACAGACTAAGACGAGGGCTCACAGTGTACTCCTCAGTGCAGTCTGTATCCAATTATTGTAACCTCTGTGTTATACCCACTAATGAAAAAGGATAACTGTGGTAACGGGAGTCCCCCTCCCTTCTCCTAAGCTTTCCTATAAAAGCTTTCCAACTTGTAACAGACTCCGGAATCGTCCCACTTTGTTGGTGTGTTTTCCTGGGTTGATCCTCACATTTGGCTTCCCATAAACCTTTATCCAATTATTTCTGCCTAAACAGTCACCACTCTCTAGTTTCAGAATTGTGGCTTTTTATAAAAACAAAAACCATGGGTATTTTTAATTAGGATGTATCTTGACATACATGATAATATGTTATATCAATCATTGCAGGACGGAGAAGAAGCCAGGAGGCAGAATGGGAAGGAGGTAGTGACTGGGGAATAGGAAGGAAAGAGAATTTGAAGGTGTGTCACTCCTTTGCAAGCCCTGTCCTTTTAGGATCCAGCGTTCTAGCTTCTCTAACATCTATCACTGCAGAAGGAACCTGGCTGCCTGACCCCCCACTCTTTAATGAACTTTTGGCAGAGGCTGTATTTTTTGTAGCTGCAGTGGCCCTCCCAGCAGTTGTAGATGTTGAAAGAGAGTACTCATTGAAGTTCTAGAGTTGGCCAGCTTAGGTTCCTATCACGTGCAAAATACAGGACATTTGTATCAGCAAACAATTATATATCTAACTAGATCAATTATCAAAAGTTATATACTAAAATTTTTAAGTATTTTTCAAAAAACTAGACTTTTAAGTATGAAATCAAATTGTAAAAATCCAGCAATAATTCTCAACCCTGCTACCCCTATCTGTGGTCTTCTTTTTCCCGCTTTATGTCCTTTCTCACTGCCACCTCCTTCCTTTTTCTTCTCAACAGTTCAACTCGTCCCTAAGAAACTCTGGTCACTTCATCCATAAGGGCAGGTCAATTTAAAACTGGCCGTAGGTCCAGCCTACTTCATGTTGTTTCTTTCTATGAGTAGTAAGACCCTAGGAGGGTTTTCTCACCAGGTTTTTAAAAAATAAAGTTGATGAACCTACTCCAAAAAGTCATGGGTTGAACAACCAAACGAGTAAAACAGAGGTTACAAAAGTGTGTCATTCTAAAGGTCAAAGAGTTCATGAATTAAATATTAATAAATGCCGAAAAGAATCCACAGAAATTTAAACTAAAATTACTAAGCAAAATAATCTTCCCCTACATTTTTTGACTCTGCTTTATAATTAAATAGACAAAGGTGCAATTGAATAAAATATTTTGTCTTAAAAACATGATGCCCTATTCTCCACAAACTGAAATTTTTACACATTATCTTATTCTGCCATTTCCAAGTCCTATACCTTTAACATTCCAATAAATATATCTTAAATTATTTGCTACCCACTTTGGGAATCAAAAACTATTAGATCTGATAAAGATTTCTTTCTAGAGGTTTTATTACAAAATGAAAGAAAATACAAAAATGATCATTTAAAAAATCACAGGGTTATCACTGGGTTCTGAAAAATTCTCCTGCCAACAGCACACTCTGGGCCCCAAACAATTTTTTTTTCAAGAGAGGTATCCAAACATTTTTTATGGCCCTGTCTTAGTTTAACAAGTGCATTATCTTGCTAAATGACTCTCTCTCCTGCCCATGTTCTATGTCTAGCGTAAGGATATTATTAATATGTTATAATAATAAATCTGTTGTCGTTCCATTATGTACAACTCTGCCTTGTAGCAGTGGCATTGCCTGCAGCCAACTCTGACGCATCTCTAGTGCCAGTAGGTGGTTTTATAGAAGGTCAATATTAAAATTGTGTTTTCACTGATTTCATACAGTGGGAGGGTCACCACCAGGAACAAGTGACCTAAAAGCACCCATGCTTGGCATTTGTATTAAGATGAAAAGTCATTAAAACAAACTCTAATGCTGCTTTAAAAAAGAGAGGAAGACACAGAAGAGAAACATAGACCAGGTGTCTCTGGAGTTAACCATGTACCTATACAAAGGGATTTTGGGAGCTTGTTATTCAACTTGGAGAAAAGAACAGGTGGGAAAAGTGGGATGAAGTGGTTTTCTAAGAGAATTCCAGGTATTTATATGATCCTTGGGTAATTTTTTTTCCATTGCTAGCTGTGAGAGTAGCTTTTTAACTCTGGCCAACTTACTTTAATTCTCCTAGCCTCAATTATGTGGTGTGTAAAATAGGAATAATGAAACCTATCTATTAGAGTGATTGTGAGTATTGTAAGATAACAAATGGAAACTAGCTAGCTGACTGTTTTCCTTGGAGTTCTCTTGGAGCAAAGATTAGAAACTCATTGAAATGCTTTCAGAGAAAATAAAGGTCTATCAAAGAATGCAAATATATGGGAACCAAGGAAACACTAGACAACCAGGAAGGAGAGGAACTGACATGCCTATAAGGATTAACCGTTCTCTCCATCTCTCTTTTGCTTGTTTTCTCTGCCTCTCACTACACATCTGCTCTATCCTCTTTCTGTCAACCAATTTCCTTATTTTACAAATTACTCAAAAGGTCTCTCTAATCCCTGGCCAATAGGGTCACCTGGAACTACCACTTGCCACCAATAGATAATTCTCTGTGTCTTTTTATTTTACTTGCTGAGATTCCTGACTGTCCCAATTCAATTTCTAGAGCAAAGAATGAAGTCCCGGCTTGTTGGTCAGGCTCTGGATGGCTTGTCCTTGAGGCCCACCTTTCCTGATTCAGTAAGCAGGGTAGGCAGGCGCAGCGGTGCAGCATCTGGTGGGCTGCTTCCTAGAGAATGCTCTCGAGTGGGGCGGACAGTGATAAGCTGTCTGCATGGGTGTTCAGTTGGCACTCCCTAATATTCTCTTTACTGTCCTTCCTTTTCCCTCTCCCCTGAGTCACTTTCTTCCTAGCACCAAGGCTCTAAGGACGAAATTACAGGCTCAGGATTTCTGATGAGGGATGCCTGGGAGATAGGCCCCGGTATAATACTTATGCTTCATTTTCTGTGCTGGCAGAGGAGGCTGGTGGTGAAATGATGAGCAGTCATTATGCACTTTTTGCCACATGACAGCCAGAATGAATTTATCTCATTTTAGATAATTTTTTGCAACGTGGTAGGAAGCAGCTGTGACTAATAAATTGAAAACAGAACATAAATATTGCAAAAGATATCAAGTCACCATGACAAGATGTCTCTTGAAACCCACTGAAATATATAATTAACTTATTAGGCTTCTAGGACCCCTTCAGACGTTTTCTCTTGCCAGGCATAAGCGTAGCGCCTTGTGTTCCTCCCATCACTGTTATTGCTGCTCTGATTATTTTCCTTCCCTGCCAGACTCTGCACTTCACACTGGGGGTGGATGGGTAGGTGGGAAAGACTGGGCCCGCCGTGTTCAACTTCACAACCTTGGTATCCAGCATAGTACCCGGCACATATTAGATGTTAATAAATATTCTCTTAATTATAAACAAACTTATGTAAGACACTTACACAAGCAGCTGGTTTCCCTGAGAGAATCACTGAATCATTTATGCACTTACAAACTGTGTTTTCCTCTATAGAGCACAAAGCTCACAATCACTATATTTGCCTTCCATAAACCTCAAGTAAACTCTATTGGGGTCTCTCCTGAGCTTCTCAACTTTGGGAACTGCCCCTTCAGAATGATGGAGTACGTTATATACATTTTGCCCTAGAAAAGGACACACAGATGAGGGCGTTTGAGAAATTCGGCCCTTGAGAAATGCAATCTGGAGATCCGTCAAGCCTACCGGTACAGACTTCATCAGCTCAGAGCAAGAGATGTTTGTTTCTATTTGGTCTGTCCAAATGGGGTGGGTGCCTTTTTCTAATTGTCATAGAGGCACCATATGCACTAGGATGGCCCGGCCTACTGCGCCGTGATGACTATTGATAGCTGGGTTGCCTGGAAAATAGAGATATGGATTGTTTAGCACATTTATTCTGAGTCATTAGAAGATCTAGGAGGATAACTTATTTGCCAAATGGCAGCCAATTTATTATTTTCTACTATTTAACACAAACTTAGCTGTTTATGTAAGTGCCTAACCTTGATGGCCTAATCATGATGTTCCAATGAGGGACAGTGGAATATTTAATAAACAGTTCCAGACAATTGCTGACTTGTTTGTTCTGGCAGGCAGTGTCCTCACTGAAGACAAAACAGAGTATTCTGGGTGATCACTTCCCAAAGCAAGATTCTAAGTTTAGCTTGGAATGTTTCCTTTAGTCCAAGGCAGCGGAGATTGAGAGGCAAGTTTTGTATTATTATTATTATCATTATTTTACTTTTGGTTTTGTGCTCATCTTAGCCATCGGTGGGGGAAGGAATAAACTTGTGTGTGACTATTGGCTAATCTGCTTACACAATTGCTTCTGCTATTACTGAAAGCCAAGAGGGTGGAAATTATCCAAGGCAAGAAGTTATTCAGCAGAGAACCTACAGAGGTGTACCATTGATTTCAACAGCAAATTCCTTTTCCACGTTCTGAGCCTAGATTTCAATATTTTCCTCATTAACTCTGAACCATGGTTTGAGAACAAACTGCTCAAGACAGAACCAAATTAAGGTCAAGCCTGTCTCTCACACCTTTAAGTTCTCTGGAAACATAAGCTGTTAAAAATACAGCATGAATAGTATTTATAAACATGTGTCTTGGACTTAGCTAAGGATAGATCATCCTGGAGAAATTAAATGGCAGAAATTAAATGCTAGTGTGCTGTACTGGAGTGTGATTTTGATATTAAGACCACAAAAACCACAAGACAGACATTGTGAAAAATATTCACCTCTGTTATTGTCTGTTGCAAGAAACTAGTGTCAGTGCTAGGAAGTGGAGGACAGAATACAACCCAAGATGCAAAGAATAAAAAATAAACTTAAAAAGAAGACAAGGCATTCTAATAGAGCCAAGCAAACATTATGAATTATAGCTGTGGACAGATTGATTAATAAGTTGTCAACAGCAGCAGTATTAAAAAATAATTTTATTGGTCTGTTGCCTTAATAATGGGGAAAACACACCTCTTGTATTATCTTGGATAGAGCTGGAGCCCATTCTACTAAGTGAAGTATCATAAGATCGGAAAAATAAGCACCACATGTTCTCACCATCAAATTGGTATTAACTGATCAACACTTAAGTGCACACATAGTAGTAACACTCATTGGGGTTCAGGTAGATGGGAGGGGGGAGGAAGGGATGGGTATATACACACCTAATGGGCAGAGTGTGCACTGTCTGGGGGATGGACATGCTTGAAGCTCTGACTTGGTTGGGGTAAATATGTAACCTAAACATTTGTATCCCCGTAATATGCTGAAATAAAAAAACTAAAAACAAATAATTGGGAAAACATTAATATTGTTATAGGTTCCTTTATCAGAAGTCACATATGGTCCATTCTCTAAATATAATTGAGCCTGAAATTTCCAGGGAGACAGGAAATTTTTTTCTTAAGCATGTCTATTTATTTCATAATTAGAGAATAGGCATGTATGTATTTAATTTTTTAAAGGGTGCCCAGATAATGCATAAGATGGAAAAGAGGCATAAAATGAAAAAATGCCGTTTATCACCACTATGGTCCACCACTATGGTCCACTATTTAGAGTTGTGTTCTCCATTATGGGGGCCATGAGCCACATGGGACTATTGACCAGTTAAAATATGACATTTTAATTTAAATTTAAAAATGGATACTCAATTTGGACATATGGAAACAATCCATTTTTATCCTCTCCAATCAGACCCATCACCCATCACTGGGGCTCCTGCAGCAGCTTAACGATTTTCCTGCCTCTAGTCTAACACTCTGGGAGGCCACGCTCAAAGGAACTGCCAGTTATAATTGAATTTTTAATTTTTTTTAAAGTATAAAAGACATACAGAAAAGAACAAAATTATAAGTCTATATAGTTCTATTTCTTGTCACAAAATGAACACAACCCAGTTAGCAAAGAACTGGGTAAAAAATAATCATTAATCACATGGTAAATTCTCCCATTCGTGATCCCTTCTTATATCTTATCCCTCCCTTTTCTCCAAAGGCAACATTATCTTTACTTCTAATACCACAAATTAGCTTTGCTTGTGTTGTATAAATGGAATCATTACCTTGTGCATTCCTTTGTGTTTGGTTTGTTTCCCTCAATATTACGGTTGTGGAGTTCATCCATGTTGTGATGTGTTATCTGAAGTTCATTCCTTTTCACTGCTGTAAAGAAATTTAATATATGAATATCCACAATTTATTCTTCTATTCTTCATGAACATTTTGGTTGTTTCAACCGCTTTCAACATTTAAACAACGTGGTCTTGTGCAAACATTAGACACTATCTCAAAAAAATGTGTTTTGTGCACACATTTCTGTAGGATCTATTTTGGCTATGGAATTATTGGATTATAGAATATGTACATGTTCAGTTTTAGAAGATATTGCCAAACCACTTTCCAAAATAGTTTTATCAACTCACACTCTTATAAATAGTATATGATAGTTAACATTCTATATCCTCACCAATATTCGGTATTGTCTTTTTAAGTTTACTTATTCTATGGATATTTAATGGTGTATCATTGTAGTTTTATATAGAATTCTTTTATTTATTTATTTATTTTGGCATATTATGGGGGTACAAATTTTAAGGTTTCAATAAATGCCCTTTCCCCCTCCCACAAGTCTGAGTTTCCAGCATGACCATCCCCCAGATGGTGCACATCTCACTCATTATGTATAGAATTCTTGATATTAATGAAGTTCAGCACCTGTTTGTATGTACACTAGAAATTTGCTGTCTTTTGAAGTGCCTGCTCAAGTCTTCTGCTCATTTTTCTACAAATGAGAATGTGTAGAAATGTGTTTGATTTATAGAGATTCTTTATATATTCACTTATGTGCACTGCGAATATATTCTACTCCATGGCTTTGTTTTTTATTCTTTTTTTTTTTTTTTTTGAGACAGAGTCTCACTTTCTTGCTAGCTAGAGTGAGTGCCATGGCGTCAGCCTAGCTCACAGCAACCTCAAACTCCTGGCTCAAGCGATCCTCCTGCCTCAGCCTCCCGAGTAGCTGGACTACAGGCCGAGCCACCATGCCGCTGATTTATATTAGTTGGCCAATTAATTTCTTTCTATTTTTATGGTAGAGACGGGGTCTCGCTCAGGCTGGTTTTGAACTCCTGACCTTGAGCAATCCACCCGCCTCAGCCTCCCAGAGTGCTAGGATTACAGGCGTGAGCCACCTCGCCCGGCTTGTTTTTTATTCTTAATGGAGTCTTTGATGAACAGAAGTTTTTCATCTTTTTTTAAATTTATTTTTTAATTTTTATTTGTATTATTTATTTTAGCGTATTATGGGAGTACAAGTGTTAAGGTTACATATATTGCCCATGCCCTCCTCGCCTGAGTAAGAGTTCAAGCGTGTCCATCCCCCAAACATTGCACATCTTACTCTTTTGGTTGTATATACCCATCCCCTCCTCCGGCCTCCCACCCTCCTGACACCTGATAAATGTTACTCCTATATGTCCACTTAGGTGTTGATCCGTTAATACCAATTTGCTGGTGAGTACATGTGGTGCTTGTTTTTCCATTTTTGAGATACTTCACTTAGTAGAATGGGTTCCAGCTCTATCCAAGAAGTTTTTCATCTTAACATAGTCCATTTTAACACTGTTTTCATGATCAAGGCTTTTTTGGTCCTGTTTAAGAAATCTTTCCATATCCCTAAGATTTTGAAGATATTGTACTAAGTAATCTCTTAGAAGTGTTGTTTTGCCCTTCAGTTTAGATTTACAACCAATTTAGATGTAGAATCCACTTGAAATATAATTTTTGTATATAAAGTGAGGAAAGGGCTAAGTTTCTTTTATTTTACATGATTACCAGTTACATGATTTTCTATTAAAATTTATGGAAAAGACCATCCTTACCACACAGGTCTCAAGTGCAACCTTTGTCTAGGGCAGGCGTCCTCAAACTACGGCCCGCAGGCCACATACGGCCCGCCTAGCACATTTATCCTGCCGACTGGGTGTTTTTGCCACCGCTGCCTGTCCTGCTCAGCAGCCGACATGTCCCAGGGCCCACTAGTGCACACTCTCCAACAGTCTGAGGGACAGTGAACAGGTTCCCTGTTTAAAAAGTTTGAGGACCTCTGGTCTAGGGTGTTCAATTTATTGCAATTTGCCTGGGACTTTCCTGATTTTAGCTCTGAAAGTTCTATGTCCTGGAAACAGTCTCAGTCTCAAACAAACATTTTTTTGTCATAAATCACTTGGTGTAAATATGTAAGTATGGGCCTATTTCTGAATTCTCTTTTCTGAATAGAATAAGAAGTCCACGTGGTCTTAATTATTTTAGTTTCATAATAAGCCCTGTTATCCTGTAAATAAATTTGTTCTTAATTTCCAAGAGTTTTGACTATTTTTGGAATTTTTCCATTTACATTGTAGAATCAGCTCAATTAATACAAAAAAAATTCCAAAATTGGGATGGCATTGATTCTATAGATCAGTTTGAAGAAAAATTAGGTTATTTATAATATTGAGTCTTCTAAGTCATGATTTATTTAGGACTTTTTTTTAAAATTTATATAATTATTATATTCTTTTCTTATTTTTAATTTTTCTTTTTAGTCCGGGGAAGAATGTGGATGATTTCTTTAATTTCTTAAATAACATTTTATAGTATTCTGTGTGGAGGTCTTATGCATCTTTTATTTCTAAAAAAATTGGATTTCTAGATTTCTAAAAAGTTATTTATATTAAATAATTTTTAAAATTTGTATGTTAATATTTGTCCCTGGTGTATAGATACACCCTTAAATTTTGTATATTGATTTTGTGTATATTGATTTTAGTAAGTTCAGGGAACTTACTAAACTCACTTATTAATTCTAAAAATTGATAGGTAAGTTAAGCATTCTTCTATTATTTTGGATTTTCTACATGGATAATCAGGAGGCTGGCTCACAGGCTATAGGTTGCCAACCCTTGCTTTCCTCCATGTTTATACTTTCCCTGGGAGTCTAACTGCATAGAGAGAGCTCATGAGCTCTAGGCATATGGATATAGCAGGAGGTCCAATTGCTGCTCATGGGCACAGTGTAAGTCTTGAGCTTTCCAAAGCTGTCCCTCCTTACCTGGATATGCTGTAAATTGAGTCAATGGTACCAAATTCATTTCCAGCACTCTTTTTTCCTTTGTGTAGGTCCAAGTTTCCATCTGGATCCTTTTACTTCAGCCTGAAGAATTTTAACATTATCTTGTAGTGCAGATAGTCAAGAGAAAAAATTTTTGTCTAAAAATACCTATTTCATCTTCATTTTGAATGAAATTTTCACTGGATATATTGAATATTCACTAGGTTGACAGTCTTTTCCCCCTTCAACACTTTATAGATATCATTGCAGTTTTCTAGCTTACATATTTTCTTTCTTTTCTCTGTATCAAGGGTCACAACATTTTTCTGTAACATTCTCTAGTAAATATTTGAGGCTTTGCAGGCCATTTAATCCCTGTCACACTACTCACCTCTGCCATTGTAGTGTGAAAACAGCTATAGACAATTTGTAATCGTGTTCCAATAAAATGTTATGGAAAAAAAGGAGGCAGGATAGATTTGGCCTGTGCACTGTATATAGTTTGCTGACCTTGTATTCTTTTCCTCTAGTTGCTTTTAAGAGTTTCTCTCTTTATCACTGTTTTTTAATATGTAATTTGACTATGATATGCTATGGTATGGTTTTTCTGTGTTTATTCTGCTAGGGGTTGGTTGAATTCTTGAGTCTTCCATTTCTCACCTGTTCATGTTTTTTTTTTACATTTCTTTTAAGCTCTTAGTTCGCAGATTCCTTTCCATACTTTCTGAATCTGTTTCTATTGATTGTTTTTTCTCCTGGATGTTATATTTTCCTCTTTTTGCATGTCTGATAATTTTTTATCAGATGCTAGATGTTGTAAGTTTTACCCTCTTAAATAGTGGGCTTATTACATTCCTTTAAAGAGGATTGGACTTTGTTTTGTATGCAGTTAAGTCACTTACAGAATTTACCATAATTTGTTCTTTTCAAGGCTACTTTTAATCTTTGTTGAGTATAAAGAATTAGATTTTAGGGCTAATTTGCCTCCACTACTAAGCCATGGCCTTTTCAAAGGGAAATAAGATATAACCCAGGATAAAAGGGGAGACAATCAGTTTGTGAGGTTGGTATGAGAAGACTGAAAGGTGAGCAGAAATAGGTCAATTGAAAGCTGGAAGGAGAAAATAGGAGAGGGGAATGATATGCTGTATTGAGATCAGCACGTACAAGGGCCTAGAAATGTCAAGTATATGATGTCTGAATAAAAACGATGCAAGGTCCACTATGACTTGAGGGAGGACTGGCAAGAAGAGATGAGTTTATTAAACAGAAACTAGGTGAGCATAGCAAATGCATTTGCTAAGAACTGCATTCCTCTACTCTTTACCACATACATACAGATTTTAACAAAGCAGATTTTTTTTTTAGGAATAATGTTTGGAGTGCAAAAGGGTAAGTAAAATACACTACAGAAATTTTATTTTATAAAATTTATTGTAAGCCTTTAATATGTGCTGAAGCCTTTTGCTTACATTTTCTTCCTACTTGTTACTGTCCCTCCATTGGAGCATTGACTTTGGAGTTCTGAAGACTTGGGTTAAAATCTCAGTTTCTGCCTGTAATCCTAGCTCTTGGGAGGCCGAGGCAGGCGGATTGCTCAAGGTCAGGAGTTCAAAACCAGCCTGAGCAAGAGCGAGACCCCGTCTCTACTATAAATAGAAAGAAATTAATTGGCCAACTGATATATATATATATAAAAAATTAGCTGGGCATGGTGGCGCATGCCTGTAGTCCCAGCTACTTGGGAGGCTGAGGCAGGAGGATCACTCGAGCCCAGGAGTTTGAGGTTGCTGTGAGCTAGGCTGACGCCACGGCACTCACTCTAGCCTGGACAACAAAGCGAGACTCTGTCTCAAAAAAAAAAAAAAAAAAATCTCAGTTTCTGATTTTTACTACCTGCATGATGTTGAACAAGTCCTTTAATCTGAGTCTTCATTTTATCCATAAAGGGGTGAAGAAGGACATGGCTATGAGCCCACTTACGGGGTTGGTACAAGTTAAAGACATTTAATATCTGACAGTGTCCAGGATATGCAGACATTCATTGAATTCCTTTGGAATAAAAGCCCCTTGGATAAAAGCCCAGGGGAAAAAATTCCTTTTCTAGCCCAGTTTGCAACCCAGGCTGCACAATAAAATCACGTGAAAAACTTTACAAAATGTTGATGCCTGGTCCTCACATGCTGTAATTGATCTGGGATGAGGCCTGAGCATGGTATTAATATTATTTTTTAAAAGCTCTCTAAGTAATTTTAACATGAGTGCAAGGTTGAAAACTACTGATCTAGCTGGGAAAGGCTAACCTTTTCATCCCTTTGAAACCTAGGTAGGCGTGTGTGTGTGTGTACCACACAAAGCAAAACGTGAAAACATGAGACCTATTAAGAGAAAAACAACTGCTGGCCATAACAGACATTGAGGAGAGCTGGCAATACACTTGGCTGACTTCTTAGATTCTATTTTTAATGTTAAATCCACACTGGTTATGCAACATTGCGGCTAAAGGTTTTACATAACATATTTTTGAATTTGTGAAACCTAGATGGCTGATTTTATAAAAATCTTGGTTCTTATTTCTTTAAAAATTATTTCTACAGCAATTTCTTTCATATGGGAAAGCTGCAATTTTTTAACAAGCTATTTTTATTTTTTAAGCAGTGTTTACTTTGAATTCATTTTGAGATTCATTCACTTCCAAACAGGACTCGGTAAGAAAATTGACTCAATAGAACAAAATAAGGCTAACACTGAAGATATGACAGTTTGATAAATGTTTGAGAATATATATATATATAACTGCTTATATTTTAGAATTTTTTAAAGTTTCTTTGGGAAAAATGTTAATTCAAGTTTTCTTGCTGTTGCACTTTAACCTCTTAGTTTGTAGGATCACATTAACCAAGAGTTAACCTTAGTCCTCCAGGTGATGTTCCTGAGTTATTAATAATGATCAGGTAACATTTCCTAATGTGAATAATCTATCCTTCTCTACTTCAGAAACACTGTTTTAGAAATGTAAACTCATTAGAAAATACAGATGGTGAAAGGATAAACTATACCATTCTTCTGAGAAAAGATACTATAAATAAATGTGTAGTGTTTTTCTTTTAAATTATCCATTTAAAAAGTGTTCTTCATATTGGGTATATTATGTGATATACACAATCATAGGAAAAGATAGAATTAAGACCTGGAACAAAGTACATAACATCAAAATGGTGATTCCAGTAATTGGATAGACTATGTCAATTATTTTTTCCTAAACTGTGCTAGGCACACAATAGGCATCCAACCTCCACTTACAAGAGAATAAAGAAAGAGTATGTGAAAAGAAGACAGCCACTTTTGTAAGTAACATTATCACAGAAAAAACTAAATGAGAACAGCACATTATCGATTTACGCTTAAGACTTAGTTTTGAAATAGTTTTGTTCTTTACAGACGTGAGTTAATAGGCTGTTTGAATCTGTCAGAGGACCCCCAATATCTTCAGACATCATGAGGAATCTTTATCTTTACAAACAAAAGATTCTACTGGCATCTTAAGATATGGAGACGAAAGTTGGGGGATCTCTAGTTCTTTACTGCCCTGCTTCTCTGATTACTCAGCTAGAAGAGAGGCAGTAGAAGGACCCCAGAATAGAGAATGAGCTAGAATCCTTCTTCCCACTTGAGATGTATTAATGTCACAAGTCAAGAGTTACTTGGGCCCCTGCTTTGTGGGCAGATAACAGGGGCTTGCATGATTATACTTTTCTCAATGTGTCAACATTCATCTTTTTTTTCCAACATCCATCTTTGAAAGAAACAAACTCAGATTTCCAGTTTTTCACTTTTGTTAGTAAGGAAGCCTAACGCTTTTAAGCAGCACTGAGCAACTTCATTTAAACTGATTACCTTAGATTGAACTAAAGAGAAACAGCAATAATACTCTAGTCTTCAGAGTCAGGCATCATAACATTTCCAAGAGGTGGAAGAAAGTACAAGGGTTAGGAGTATGGAAGAAAGGCAAGATCTCATATGACAGTTAAATAAATCAGTAATTAAGTAAGAGGGATCTGTTAGGGTCACAGCAATCCTAAATATTACCTTATTTAAAAAGTTCAGTTGGATGGGTTTTTGAATGAAGCTTTTGATTATTCTGATTCCAAATACGTTAAATTCAGCAAATAATGAATATTACTGTATTTCCAATCTTAAAAGTAAGTCTTCAAGTTTTTGGTAACGATATGAAGTTACAATTTGAATAGTCTCAGTATTGTTATATTCCACTGGACATCTGCATCTGTGGGTTCTGCATCTGCAGATTCAAATAACTGCAGATAGAATATATTAGGAAAAACTCAATAACTATACAATAAAAATAATACAAATAAAAAAATACAGTATAACAACTATTTACATAGCATTTACATTGTATTAGGTATTACAAATAATCTAGAGATGATTTAAAATATTTGGGATGATGTACATATATGTGAATACTATGCCATTTTGTACAAGGGATTTGAGCATCTGCGGATTTTGGTGTAAGGAGAGGGGTCCTGGAACCAGTCCCCTGCAGATACTAAGGGAACACTATAACTAGAATTTCATCTTTTGTTATTATTTTGAAAATTCGATGCATATCTTGAAACAAGATCCTTCAAAGACTTGATATTCATAGACAAAACTGTATAGGTCTAATTGCCTTTGTGGAAGTTCCTAGAAGCTTCCTAGCCCAAGATCAATGTGCCAAATATTTAAATGACTTTACCAGTTTCAACAGATGCCAAGACTGATACCATCTGATTATACTCACTAGCCAGTGGATAACTGAACACATTGGGTAGCTCAAAAATTCACTATTAGAATAAGAGGAAAACCACAGGAAAGCATGATAAAAATCCTTCTGGTTCATTCATTTATAATCTTGAGTAATTCTGAAAAGAATTTCCAGTTTTTAATCCAATATGTTTTCCTACTCTTCCTGGGGACTAAAAACAGGTTAGGAGTGGGAGGGAGTGGAATGAAGACGAGAAGTTCTGTTTTTTAGCCACTGTCATAAAGCTCAGGAAAAAGAGAAACCTCAAATCACCAAAGAACATTACTTCCTTGAAATGTTTTCAAAATAAATATGAGACCAATCTTCAGAACAATGTACAACCATGGATAAGTTAAAACCTTTAGGAAGGGGGATAATTGGGATTACTCTTGAATATTATATAATCAAGACAAAGGAAAACTGACATGTTTCCAGTTTCCTGGAAAAAAGAAAACATGGGAAGGTTGGAACTGGCATTTTAACATCTTATCTGAAACTATGAAATAGAAACAACTGTGCAAGACACATGACTCAGACAAACAAAACACTCAAAATGTGCAACTCTAAAAATACGTGATCAATGTTTAATATTTTGAGGATTAAGTCACAAAATCAAGAAAGATTTTTTACTTAGCTAGGTTCATTTCCTCTGAATTCTTCTAAAAGTTAAAAATGAACTATCACACTTATTGATTTAGAACCATCAGATTTTACTTCTGGAAAATCTAATACCTTTCAAAAAGTTATAATTTTAATGTTAGCACAAAAATTACTTCCTAACATTTCATTTTTAAAAAAAACTTTTTCGCAGCCAAAGATTCCTATTTTTGAATTACAGTACTGCAAGGCACATACAGAACTCACTTTCTTCAAAACACACAGAAGATATACTCCCTGAAATAGACTTTTAAAATCCTTGAACAATTAGAAATACTACAAAGTTAGCAATTTTTAGGTAAAAATGTTGCTCCTACAGGATCATGCACCTTTCTTAAAATCAACTCAGCACATATGTATAAATAATCCTTTTTTGAAACATTTGTACTTGAAATGCAAATACAGTGATGCTGAAAACAGCACTAAACAAAATCCTGAAAAGTACTATAGCTTAATAAAATTTTATGTTATTGCCTTCATTAGAGACTGTATCATCTCTGGTATTTTCAAAGATTTGAATGGGGTAACTACATAGGAAATAAAGCATTTTTTAAAACAATATTTTCTTTACCTCTAGCATCATTTTTTTTTTATAAAGAATGCTAAATGAATTATATTTTTATGTAGTAAAACTGAAGATAGACCATTTAAATGCTTCTACCAAATTTAATGCAGCTTAATTAGGGACCAGGTACATATTTTCCTCTGAACATTTTTGGTCAAGCATGTCTAACCATAAAAGCAAATAGAATTTTAAGAGGTAGATTTTTTTCCCATGATGCATTTTGTTAATAAATGTATTGTCAAGGAAATAAAAACAAGCACTGAATGTGTTTTCTTAAAGTATAAGGGTCCAAAAGAAAAATAAAAGATAGATATGATATTTGTTACAGTCTGACATTTTAACAGTCATAGTATTGGATGCTTTGTGATCAGTGCATTTTGGACTCTTCTCAGGATCAAAATACGAGTCTGCCAACTGTATTAAATCCTCCTCCACCCCCTCCACCAGTTGGTCCACAGCTTCCTGGTGGGTCATTGTCATCAAATCCGTTGGGCCGAAATGAACAGGAGGCAGATGCAGCTTGTAGGGCCCGGGCTCGAGCATTTAACTCTTGTTCCTAAAATTAAAAATAATTTTTATGAAATGAAAAT